CCCTTTCCGGACGCCCCCGAGACTCGTGGCCAAAGTTTGTGATTATGAGCCTTAGGAGGCTGTCTTTGGATCCCAGGTGCCGGCGAGCGATTAGCATGTAGAGCGAATTTCAGGTCGCAGATGATGCGGAGGTTTGGTTTCGCGCTCTTCCTCCCCCTGTGGGGCCTCCTGAAGAGTAGAAGTTACAGGAGGAACAGGATGAGGACGTGAAGGTGGATCGATGACGGCGAGGAAATGGTTGAAGATGATCAGGAAGAGAGGAAAAAGAGTGTGTGGAGGAGGTGGAGGGGGATGTGGAGGATTAGGGGAAGGAGGGGGAGGATGAGAACGACGAACACGAAGACGAGGACGAGGACGAACAGGAGGAGGATAAGGAGGGAGAGCGGGGAGAGGGAGGGGGGTAAGAACGGGAGGATGGCTCAGTTGCTATTCGCATGGTTTCCCAGACGCAGCGCAGGCATGTAAGCGGACCCCCTATCCCGTTTTCCGTGGCTGTCACAGACTAGGTGAGAGGGGCGGGTCGTTGAAGTCAGTCAGGGCAGCGGCAGGAGAAGGACGACAGCCAGTAAGAGGACGGTGCTCAGGACGACGGGGGCGAGGTTGGGAGGATAGTGCATGCGGAGGACGGGGGAGGAGAGGATAAGTAGTAGCGCAGTCGCGACGACCACGAGGACGACGACAAGGACGATGCCTACGACGACGGCGAGCACAGAGAGTTAGGAGGAGGATGAGGACGACGATGAGGAGGAGGAGGAGGAGGAGGGGAAGGAGGATGACAAGGAGGCCGTGGGAACCGGAGCAGGTGGAAGAGAAGACTCTGTCAAATCGTTTCGCCCGCGCCATATCGGATAGTTATCCGACCCTTCCACGCATCCCTTCCCACTGCGCTGGAGCAGTTTCCATTCGCCGACTGGCGTATCCTAGAGGACCTTGATCCCTCCAAGTGGCCCAATCCTTTGATGCGCAATCAGAAAGAGGGCATTGAACAGTGGAGGAGAAAGCGGAGGATGACGAGGAGCCGGAGGAGGAGGAGGAGGAGGAGGAGGAGGAGGAGAAGGAGGAGGAGAGGAGGGGAGGAGGGGAGGAGGAAGGGGAGGTGGAGGAGGGAGAGGTGGAGGAGGAGGAGGAGGAGGAGGAGGAGGAGGAGGAGAAGCAGTGAGAAGATCATGCTTGTGATCCAGGGGCAGCAGCAGCACGAGAAGGATCAGGATGACCAGGGCAAGGCGGAGGAGGATAAAAGATTTGAATGACGGCAGTGACATGAAAGTAATCGGATCCTGAAGCGTGAACCGCGCGGGGGTGAGAGCTCTCAAACCACGAGAGCAAAGCGCCCGTCCTGAAATGCAGCCCGAGCTGCTGCGGGGACACAATGTTAGAAGGACCGATGGTGTTCTGATTGCGAAGGCCTTACGGCCAGTGCCGCCGACCCTGAAGACGACGAAGATGAAAACGAGCGGGGGGGGGGTAGGATGGCTGGAGGAGGAGGAGGAGGAGGAGGAGGAGGAGGAGGAGGGAGGAGGAGGAGGAGGAGGAGGAGGAGGAGGAGGGGAGGGGGGGGGAAAGCAGAAGGGGTGGAGGAGGGGATGAGGAGGAGGAGGGGGGAGGGAAGACAAGGAGGACGAGCAGGGATGAGGAGGAGAGGCGGAGGAGGGGCGGAGGAGGAGAGCAGGAGGAGGGGGGAGCAGGAGTGGGGGAGGAGGGAGGGGGAGGTGGAGGCGGAGGGGAGGAGGAGGAGGAGGAGGAGGAGGTGGAGGAGGTTGAGGAGGAGGATGGAGGAGGAGGTAGGAGGAGGAGGAGGAGGCGGCGGAGGAGGAGGAGGAGGAGGAGGAGGCGGAGGAGGAGGAGGAGGAGTGGAGGAGGAGGAGGAGGAGGAGAGGAGCAGGAGAGGATAGAGGGGAAGGAGGAGTGAGGAGGAGGAGGAGGAGGAGGAGGAGGAGAGGAGGAGCGAGGAGGAGGCAGGAGGAGGAGGAGGAGGAGAGGAGGAGGGGGAGGGGGGAGGGGAGGAGGAGGAGGAGGAGGAGGAGGAGTAGGAGGAGGAGGGAGGAGTGGAGGAGGAGGAGGAGGAGGGGGGAGGAGAGGGAGGAGGAGGCGAGGTAGGAGGAGGAGAGGGCAGGAGAGGAGGAGGAAGGAGGAGGGAGGAGGGCAGGAGGAGGAGGAGGAGGAGGAGGAGGAGGAGGCGGAGGAGGAGGAGGAGGAGGGGAGGAGGAGGAGGAGGATAGGAGGAGGAGGAGGAGGAGGAGGAGGAGGAGGAGGAAGGAGGAGGAGGAGGGAGGAGGAGGAGGAGGAGGAGGAGGAGGAGGAGGAGGAGGAGGAGGAGGAGGCGCGTTGTGGCATTCTAGGGTCTTTTGGAAACAGCTTTTCATGGTTTCGGGGGCGCTCGAGGGGGAAACGTATCTGGGCGGCGTCCTTTTGCCGTCTGGGGGCCCCGTTTGGCCGTCCTTAGGCGTTCTTGGGCTGTCTTGTGGGGCTTGGGCCGTCTAGGGGCGCTCTTGCGGATCCGTCGTGGCGACCCCCCCTCCTCCAGCGCAACTACAGAGGGCCCTTCTGTAAAAGCCGCAAACGGGGAATGCGAA